CCCCAAAACCCCAAAACCCCGTCATCATAAATCCAACCGGAAAGTAGTGAATTATTAAAAAATAAAATACGAGTATAGTTTATAATTTCTACCGAACTTAATTTGATCATTAAAAATTTAAGATTAAACTCATTCCTCAGACTCATCCTGAGAAGTAAATGATTCATCTATACCTTTGACACCGCAAGTAATTTCTTAGTTATGTATACTTTTAGAATGATACTTATTAAAATGTCTGAGAAGTCTATCCTTATGAAATATAGATTTGCATTCTTAGCATTTTAGATATAGCCGTTTATGGGTCTTAATGTGTTTTTCAAGGTTACTTTTCTATGTAAATGCTTTGCGGCAGAATTCTACCGGGCATTTGAAAGGTCTTTCGTTGCTGTGAGTCCTTAAATGGTCGAATAGATTTCCCCATTTCTGACAAACGATATTGCAGTTATCAAAGGTACAAATAAACTGTGATTTCCACCTTTTAGACTCCTATTTGAAGACTTTTACTTGCTTAAATGTTTTTAGGCTTGGAATATTCGCTACTTAAGGTATTTGATCTTCATGAAGATTCTCTCCTAATATAATTTATATCTTCGATCTCTCAGGAAGCTTAAGAGTCTACTTGACAGTCTTAGTTTCAAATGAATCATCGTTAGAACTCGGTTCGATAGTCTTTTATCTCGTATTTTCTTCCATTCCGTACATTTAATTAGAGGATTCTATGAATGCTAATTATTAGTGAATTTACTAACCATCTCTATGTTTGAGCATGAAATCCTCTCCGAAGGCTCCACAATTACACTTGCAAACACAAGAGTCTTTGTTTTTCTTCTCTGGCAAATTATACTATAGTTATGTAGGAGTATTGTTTTCTTGCAGATTGATGTTGATATTTTCTTGTTAATTGATGAGTGGCAATTAGATGAATGTGCTTAGTGGTTTTTCCTATCCCATGATGAGTTGATGATTCGTCGATTATATTTATTAGATAGGAAAGTATTAGGAATTCTCATTAGCATATTTTATCTGATAAAATGCCGAATTAGAAATTGGATTCAAGATTTGAGGCTGTGTCATTATCTGGAAGTTATAATTATTCAAGTAATTCATAGGATATTATATTTGAAAGGATTGAGGCTGACTTTAGCTATTCGTATTCACTGTGTAATTAGATATCATAAATTATTTTTATTAGTAATTATATATTCACTACTTATCAGATCAAATTCATCAGAATCTTGGGGTTTTGGGGTTTTGGGGTTTTGGGG